GATCCTCCATTAGTTGATAGGACAGAAGAAAAGGCCCCTGAGAAGGATGAATGAGGTAGTGTTTGGGGCTTGGTGCCATTACGGCGCCATCAGAGTCAATCTGACTCACCGAGACACTAGAGGGGACCAGGCCTTGACCAGTGGGAGAGAATAGTATTTAATAACCTATCCCCTATGAAGTCAAATACTAAGAGTGGACTCACTCAATTCACTCGTTCAGTTGTGGTACCACCCACAGGGCAGCAACAGGAAGTAACAAATCCCACTGGCACTTAGGTTGATACGGCCAACCTTGATCTACCATTGTACTTCAAACAAATCATCATCTTACAGCCCTGCTGTCCAGGTGAACATTTCCTAAAGGTATCTTGGACTTCTTGCTGACCAAGTGAATCATGAAAGAATCGAGTAAGGAGAATGAGTATCACAAGTCCGCTGGACTTGATAAGAGGTTATGGTAAAAAGGTAGATAGGCTGGACAAAGTACTAGATCCCCATCACCTCTGCAGGAATAAAGACTGGGTGACGCAAAAGGTTGTGAAAGAGGCTTCCCCATCCCAGTTCTCTGCAGAATCTGCTCTCGTGTTACCCTGCTGGACCAATGGTCAAAAGCCAACAGACGCAAGATACAAGCCGTAAGCTTTATTGCCAACACTCTGGTTTGCAAAGGCAAACTTTTTTCAGGGGAGTGGGGGAAACTGTCCTGGGGCTTCAGCTCTGGCCCTGTCCCAGAGCTTTTGTGTACAAAGCTAGCATTCTACCACTTAAGCCACAGCTCCACTTCTGGCTTTTTGTGGTTAATTGAAGATAAGAGTCTCACAGACTTTCCTGCCTGGGCTGGCTTTGAACCATGATCCTCAGACCTCAGACTCCTGTAGTAGCTAGGATTACAGGCATGAGCCACCACTGCTTGGCTGCAAAGATAAATTTTTAAGGTTGTTGTCTCCTCAGACGCCAGGGTAACAGCTCTACCAGTTCCCAGGCGAGTGGTCCTGGGGACAGTTATTGAATGTCACTGAGCACTGATTTCTCTCAACTGCATACAGACAAGCCCCATGTACCATAGCTGCTGTGCTCTTGAGCCCCTGGGATGTCCTCAGCAAAGAGTAGCTTTCTTTCCTTCTTATTCCCTTACCTTTCAAGTCCTTATCCATATCAGGTGTTGTGGTCTACGATGCCCCAAAAGAAAGGATATGATCAAAGTCTTCATTCCCTTTACATGCAGTCATAACCCCCCATTTTCCTTTTCCTTAATGACACTATTATTATCATTCCAGTACTTTCTCCACTTGCTTGCTTAGCTGGTGCTCTACCATTTGAGCCACACCTTCACTTCAGCCTGTGTTTCTGCTAGTTATTTTGGAGCTGGAGACTCATGGACTTTTCAACTTGGGTTGGGTTCAAAGTGGGATCCTCTGGATTTTAGCCTCCTAGGTAGCTCAGAGAGCAGGCATACATTGTCAGCACCTGTCAATAAGTCCTCATTTTTACTTAAATAGAACACTGTAGTTGAAAGAGACATGGTCTATCTCTGACTCAACGCCCTCTTCTCTTCCTCCCGCAAGCCACTCAAAACACCACAGTGCTTAGAATAGAATGACCCAAGATTCAGAGATCTACAACAGCAGAGCATGAGCTATCTGACCTTCTAAACCCCATGAACTCTTATGTTTATTCACACTCCATGAACAGAGAATCCAGGAAGGGTCAGGTCCTGTGTCACAGGAGGGAGCTAGCAAGAGGAGTCCATTTCTGATCTCAGGATGCCTGGCTACGGATGGCAAAAGCAGACTTGAATGTACGCACAGCACAATGAGGTGAGAGTTATGATGGCTGAGGCCATGGCTGCTGGGGGTCACACCAACCTGCAGAAGGTGGCCAGACTTGAGAGTCACTCTGGTTGTATCTGACCAAGGCTCAGCACATCTGCTGGGGAGCCATGGGAGGCAGACTGAGCAAGCCACACACTACAGGTTCTAAAAATAGTCTCTGAATTCTAGTCTGGAAACCCATCTGCCTGGAAGGTATTTTTTCTTTTCTTTTTTAAAGGTGCAATGCATATAAGAGTGATCAAAAAATGAACCATTTTAAAGCAAACAACTCAGTGCATTTGTACATTCACAATGTCACATAATCCCATCTAATGCCAAAGCATTTTTATCACACCCCAAAATAAAAACTTGTACCCATTAAACATTAATACTCTACCTCCTGCCCTCACCCCAGCCTCTGCAAATGTCCAACCTGCTTCTGTTTTATGGATGTGAGATGGAAGGATTTTCAAAAGATATATTTCTTCTAGTTTCTGATTGATTTTGGCCTATGCACGACACTAGACTCACTGGAAATAGAGGCCCTGATTGCCTTTGGAACTAAGTGAGCTGGAGTTCAAATTCCAATTCAATCTAATCATAGGTCATTTAGTGCCATTACTGTGTTTCTGAACTTCACTTTCCTCATTTACCAAATAAAGAAGCCACTTCATAGGACTTTTAAGTTGAATATTAAAATGTATTCAGAACACCATAGAAAATGTTCAATAAATGCTATCTATGAAATTTACAGAAAAGTATGCAAACCCCAATATTTAGTGTCTAGGTCACTACACATGAATTTGCTGGTATTTGTGCCAGTATTAGGACTTGAAGTAGGGTCTGGGCAGTATCTTTTAGCATTTTTGCTCAAGGTTGGCACTCTACCACTTGAGCCACAGCTCCACTTCCAGCTTTTTGGTAGTTATTTAGAGATAAGAGTCTCACAGAGTTTCCTGCCTGGTTTGGCTTCAAATGATAATCCTCAGATATCAGCCTCCTCTGATCTCAAATCCTGAGTAGATAGGATTACAAGTATGAGTCACCAGTTCCTGGCATAAGTATCTTTATATGAATTAAAATGTCTAGGAAATCTAAAGGAAAGCTAATCTTACATTTGAGTCGATGAACAGTCTTTTAGCATCAAACTGCCTGCAGCTTCTAAGTTTTATAACTTGCTGTTGCTGTGTGACCTTGGGGAAGTTGCTTCACCTCTCTGAGCCTTGTTCCTTTCTTAACTACAATATGGTGAAAGCCATCTACATTGAAAGGCTGTCTTGATTAAGCATGTGCAGCTACTATGTATAGGTACATCACTGGCTTCTTCTTCTTCCCTGTCTCCATCCATAGCTCCCTCTCTGCATCTGTGCCCTAAAAGATTTATAGTATAGCCAGGGAGAAAAGACCCTTTAGGTCAGGATCTATTTAACTTGCAGGGCTGAAACATTGTTTGGTGCAGATGTTTGTTTGGTGCCAGCCCAGGGGCTTGAACTCAGGATCTTGACACTGTACCTGAGTCTTTGGGCTCAAGCACAATACTCTATCACTTGAGCCACAACTCCACTTCCTGCTTTGGGGGGAGGGTAGTTAATTGGAAAGAAGAGTCTCATTGACTTTCCTGCGGGGGCTGGGCTTTGAAACTCCTCAGGTTTCAGCCTCCTGTGTAGCTAGGATTACAGGCCAGGTCTGAGCTGGGCTCAGACAGTGTGGTTGTTTTTGTGCCAGTCCTGGCACAAGTCCTGGGGCCTGAACTCAACTCAGTAGCTGGTAGTTGTCTCTGAGCTTTTTTTTTTTTTTTCCTCTCAAGGACAGTGCTCTACCACTTGAGCCACAGCTCTACTTTTGGATTTTTTCTGGTTAACTGGAGATAAGAATCTCATGGACTTTCCTGCCACTGTTGGCTTCTAACCACAATCTTCAGATCTCAGCTTCTTGATCATCATCATCATTATTATTATTGTTATCATTATTATTATTGTCAGCCATGGGGCTTGAACTCTGGGCCTGGGCGCTGTCCCTCAGCTCTTCAGCTCAAGGCAAGTGCTCTACCACTTGAGCCACAGCGCCACTTCCGGTTTTCTGTTGGTTAATTGGAGCTAAGAGTCTCATGGACTTTCCTGCCCAGGCTGGCTTTGAACCTCAGTCCTCAGATCTCAGCTTTGTGGGTAGCTAGGATGACAGGCGTGAGCCACCGGCACCTGGCAGTATTATTTATTTCTTAAATTAAATTGAATGTACTTCTCTGACGTGTACCCAATATGAATTGCCCTATTTCATTGTCAGCAGCCCATCAGATACCATCTACTCTATTCATCCATAAGCACTTGCATTTATAACTCTTATTTTATTTAGGTTTTTATTTCTTTCACTGGGCCAGGCACACAAGTGGTACCCACAAAAATTTTTATGCCACACCAAGATAGATTCTGTATTTACCTGAAACACCTGTCCCCTCACCAGGAGAAGACTCCATGGAGTGACTTTAGGTTATTGCTTAAAAGTAAACTAGTATTTTATCTTATTTTACACTACTTGTTTAAAAATAGCAATTACCTAGAAGTTGGACTTTTATATTCAACCCCACTCTTCAAATAAGACCATTACAATAAAAGTTGGTATCCCATACAAGATCCCAGGCCCCAAATGCAGAGATTTTTCCAAATGTCTACTTCCCTCAAATGCTTCAAGGTGATTGTAAAGTTAGCTTGTGACCTTACCTTTGAAAAGGTACCCAGCTTCATTCAGAAAAGGCTCTTGGTCTGTTTGAATTACACAATCAACTCTTAACCATAAGGGACTTACTGAAGACTGAAGCTAAGCTTCCAGGCCACCACGTGGAGCTTTTTCAGGCACACAAAGATGGTCTCTGTGGAAGTCGCTCTGCCCAGGAGAGGCGAGAGAAAGAGCCATCTTTGCCTCCTCCTCATCCTTTCCCTCATCCTGCCTGAACTAAGGATTTCCAGGTGGCCCTTGGAGTGTCTAGGGAGCCATCAGTGGGGAAAGAGAAGGTGGTGTGTGTGTACACACACACACACACACACACACACACGCACATGCACACGTGGGACACCCAGCAAGCTTTAACTTCCCAGCTGTTCTGCTGAAATGGGGAGTCAGGATGTCTGGGTCACACATTCACAGCAGCCCCTGGCTGAGTAACAACCCCTCCCCCACGGACCGTCCTCTTACCCTGCCTGGTGAGGGGCCCGAGCGCCCTAGGCTTCCAGCGAATGGGGCTTCCTGGCTCTGAGTTCTTCCTGGTACAGGAGCCCTTGTCCCTCTCTTCTCAGCCTTGGGGCAGGGCAGCTTCGGCGCGTCCATGCAGGCAAGCAGCCTGGCCGCAGAGTGTCCCCAGTTATGCCCTGCTTGGAGCTGAGCCGTCCTGGCTCAGGCCATGGCCCAGCTTTCTAACGTGGCCCTGCTCCGGGGACTTCACTTCCTGCTTTTTCTTTCACAACTGAAAGTGGAAGTATTCTGACCAGGAGGAGAGCAGCCGGCAAATCTACCCTGGCTCCTTTGCAAAGCCTTTAACCCCAGCACCTCAGGGTTCACACACAAGCCAGCTTGCATGGGTGTCTCCACCCTGCCCTGGTGGGTGCAGCTAGCTCCCAACCAGGGCAAACAAACAAACAAACAGAAGAACTAAAAACAGCTCGACATGATCCTCACTCCCCTGTCATAGAAGCGGAGGTGACGCTGTTCCCTGTTAGATTCACAGGACAGGAAAGTCCAGTAAGGAAGGACCTCCACCCTCAGGGCCATCCTGAGACCATGATCCTCCCTCGCTCCAGTCCCCAGGACTGTCTGCCTCGGTCCTCAAAGCATTTCTCACAGAGCTCAAAGGATCAACAGCCAAGGCAGGAATGAGCAGGGCAGTGAGCCATGAACCTGGCAGGGCTCCTTTCCCCCCAGCACACCAGCCCCTCCTCTCCCACAAGTTTAAGTTAAATCTGTGTTCCACCGCCTCTCTCACTCCCTGGTATTGCCACATTCATCTGATTTACCTAAAGGCTGTGGACTCACAGGAACATTAGAGCGGCTGCTCTCAGATCTGGAAGCAGAAATAAGGTATTTCCCTGCCCTTTCTCACTTCCCCACTCCAACTCTACAGACACAGCCAGGACGTAAGCACTCTCCCAGGCTTGATCCCTGCGAGGGCTCACAGGAAGTGCAGGGTGAACTTGACTCTTTGCTAGAGCTAGATTAGGATTTGTTCTCTCTGTAAGGAGGAGGTCCTTAGCCTCCAGTTACAAAGGGCAGAGCCAGCTGGGCCATGGTCTCTGAGAACTTCAGTGCGGAGCTGTTGGACCAGGGAGAAGGATAAAAGTCAGCCCTGGCATTCCATCTTCTGGGATTTCTCAGAGGTGAAGGAAGCCTTGGCTTTTATTTAATTTCAGGAACTCGGCTCCCCCAAGAGACAAAGTCCTTCAGAGAACACCAGAATGGCTTTCAAGCCTCATTCTGTCTAATCTGAGTTCCTCTGAACTCAGAAGGGGGTGGGGGAGGGGCAGGCACCGGCTTCCTACCTAAGTGTAAAGGAAGGGCTAAAAGAAGAGGAGGCCATCATCATCATCATCATCATAATCATCATCATCATCATCACCATCATGATGATTATTAGCGGTCTCTCCAGAACTGACAACTCAAGATAAAAAATTCCCGGGCCACTTCACAATCTCACCAGATTGCTCTATCTGATCCTACCTGTACATGAGTGACAAGATTTCAGAGAACAAAAGAAGGGTTTAGCAACACAGAAGGATTCTGTGTTATAAAGAAGCCTTAGCAGTGATAGATCAGGATTCAACTTTGAGCCATCCCTCTCCTAGCCATGGAACAGCTCACAGATCTACCACTTATCTTTGAATAGAACGATACTATCTACCTTTCAGAGGGTGGTAAGCCAATAATCAATCGTGTAAGTCTCCAGTCCCTACTTAATATCTGCTAAAGATTTCCTTCTCTCTTCCATTGGGAATCACTGTCCTCAGCAGCTGTTGAGTAACCAAATTGAGACTGAAAATTCTGAATAGAAGACAAGGAAACCCTACATCTTGTTTATAATTTCCCCCCCAGTAGATTTACCATTCTTTTCTAATTCCTTTACTTGCTAGCATTCAGGTGATTCCAACCACCCCTTTTCCAACTGATTTTTTTTTCTTCTTTGACTCCTCACAGGTCATATGAGGCTACTACTCACCAAATAACCTGTAAAAGAGTCTTAGGCTGAGAATAGACATTTATGCCACCTTCTTGTCCCACACCAACCCATCCCCACTGTCCTGTAGACATAAAACAGAGCAGGTAGGATTATATCGGCTTACCTTGTAAGAACTCTCCCACTTCCTGAATCTAGGAAACTCTCTCCACACAGACAGATGGACTGAGCCAGCACCACATTCAGCTGTCCCTGCTCTTTCTACAGTTATGGTACTTAGGTACTGTGTGTCCTTCAGTGTCTAGCCAGCTCACCTGAAACCTTTGGACCTGTTGCAATAGAGGTGCAAAGGTAAAAGTTACCTGTTCAAACACTCATAGTCACCTCTGACAGAAGTGCAGAATTTGGCAAAAGGTTAAGGCAAGATTGTTAGGCAATGGGTTTAAGAGGGAAGGGAGAGAAGACAGCCCTCAGATCTGAAAGCTAACAGTTGACAGGATGAATCTTTTATAAAGCCCAGACTTCAGGGCAAGGAGTTAGGCGTGGATAGGTCTTTGCATCTGCTTTTTTTGGCATAGTCTTTGGAACAGAGATAAGAAGAGGGAAATCTAGATAACAAGCTGGAAAAGGTGCCCCTTGAAGTGGAGTGAGTCAAAAATAGAGATGCCACTTAAAAGCATAATTTTAACATTTGCACTATAATTAAAAAAAAGATTTGCACTAACCAGAGGTCTGAATATGTGAACCAACTTTCTTCTAGGTGGGCCAATGTCCCCTCCAGGATGAAGTAATTTCTAAGACAAGCAGAGAACTGAATCAGCCTGAAGTCTGGGGTGCAGACTGAGAGGCTAGCCAGACTAACTGGGTAGTACCAAGCAGGCAGCATCGTGGGCCCAGTTGGAATCAGGCAAATGAGAGAACCAACTGAGAAGCAGTGCAGAGATTGCCTTATAGCTCAGATTACCTTCTTTCTCTATTCATGTGGGAGATACTAGTCACCATTTCCCAGCCAAAATCATTAAGACAGAGAGAATTATCACTACACAGCGAGGATGGGAGATGAAAGAGGCTCTGCAGACTGTGGGGGAAGCTCCTATTGCACAGGTGGGGCCGATGAGAGGACCTTTCCGGGGGAGGCTGTCCCTTAAATCACACAGCCCATCCCTGATGCACAGCCAAGAGGACCTCTGCTACACCCTCGCCCTTCTGTGGTGCATTTAACCAACAGACTGGCAATGCTTACATGCCACCTGTGTACCAGGCCTGCAGAAATTGGGAAAAACTGCATTAGGTTCTGTCTTACCATACTTGCCAGGCAGCCGGTATGAAATTCAGATGCCACTATCACTTCCTTTTGACTCCTGTACAGTCACTAGAACATTATCATAGAAATCTTCTCAGGCCAATTCTCCTCCAGGTCTTAGGAACATTGATTCATAGTCACCTCTGGCTACAGAGCTCTAGACTTTCCTTAGTACTAGAAAGAAAATGGCCTCTAAGCAGTAACTAAAGGGGACACAGTTCACTGGGAGGTAGGGATGTGAGTTCTACCTGGACCAAAGCTAAGTTGTGTCAAGTTGTAACTCAATAAACACATTCTGAGTTCAAACTTGCCAAAGACCAACATGTATAGAGCCAGTAATTCTCAAATTCCAGTGTCACAATCCCTCACAGAGCATGTAACAACATCTTTTTCTGGGTCCATGCCAAAGCTTTGGATTTGGTAGGCCTGAGTTCACATCTTGGTTATGTGGCTCCTGCTTTTGAGGGGGAGGGCAGGGAACCACTAATAGCACACTGAGAGAATTATTCCTTCAAACAGTCACCCTTGCCTCCAATGGACCCAGGTGCTAAATGTCTCAAGGAACTGTGTTTGTGCTGGTCTTGGCTATGGTGACCTCATATTTAGGAAGACAACTTCACACAGAGTAGAATTCATTATACACTCTAGCATACCAAGTCCCAGAGAAATGCTTCGGTGAAGCAAGGAGGTGGTGCCATGCATTGTGTTTCCCATATATAGTGAGCTAACGCTAAGCCACACAGCCACACAGCTAAATAATCCCAATGGCATGGGTTGTGGAGAGCACCTGACTTAACCACCTCATTAGTGTGTGTGTGCATATGTGTGTGTGTGCGTGTGCGCATGTGCATGTGTGCATGCTCTGACTTGAACTCTGGACCTTGTACTCTTGTCTTTTTTGCTCAAGACTGGCACATGACCACTTGAGCCACACCTCTACTTCTGGCCTTCTTCTGGTTAATTGGAAGTAAGAAAATCATGGACATTTGAGCCCAAGCTAGCTTCAAACTGTGATCCTCAGATCTCAGCCATCTAAGTAGCTCAAGTTATGGGCATAAGCCAGCAGTGCTCAGCTCTTATTTTATTCCTAAGGGCCCCTGAGGATTCATGAGTGGAAGCAGCTAGTTGAGAAGATGCATTGGTTTAGGGAGAATGGTAAATCCAGAACTCAGCCTTCCAGTGTCCTAAGCAGGTTAAACTAGCTCTTGTTTCCTATGACATTTCTTTTAAAAAATGTGTTAGGATGGGAGGAATGGCTCAAAAGGTGGTATGTCTTCCTGACAAGTATGAGCTCCCATTTAAACCCAGGATTGCCATGAAAACAAAACAAAACAACAACAACAAAACACGGGTTAAACAACACCCTTTGCTCCTTCCTTTCCTCTCACAATCACATGCATTTAAAATCCAATATTAGTTTTCAAAAAATTCCCCTTAGACCTGAGCCATTAGCAAACACAAACTTTCATTTTTTAGGTCATTCAGAGGTGAGGGTCTGATGTGAAGAATCTTGACAGTTTGAATTTGGACAAGCTCTCATGCCTGCTCTGATGGGTTAGTACATAGTCCCCACCTTGCGTTAACAACAAAGGAACTAGTACATTTAGTACATGGCAAATCTAGATTTATCGGGGCTGGCATTCCAGAGTCTTATAACACAGCCTGGAAACAGCGAGGACACCTCTTGGGACAGGGGCCAGCAGCTTGTCAGAAGCATGTCAGGTTTCCCATAGATTTTTTTGAAGGCTGGGAGAAAAAAATTTAAACAGACCAACTTCCCATAGCCCATCATGCATTGACCCAGTAACTCCCTGTTTGTAACTCTTCCTGGAGGCCTCTTAGCATTGTATCAGGTGTGTGTTGGAGCAATGGCCTCAATATCCAAACTTGCAGAGGTGGATGGGAGTCAGGCCCCAAGATAAGGACTTCATTTGACACTTGCAATCAACTAGATGGTAGTTGCAATCTGTCCAGAAC